TCGAGTTCGGTTCGAATTTCGAACCGAACTCGAACTCGGGCAAAAGTCCGGTTCGGTTCGGTTCATAGGAACACTAAGTACAGCCAATCATGCAAATGTCCGGTATGCTAAAGAAAACCTATACTTTTTCCTCTCTTAATGTTAATGAATGAATTTATTTAAATTTCCAATTTGAGACTATCGACCCACATTAAATCAATGGCATCAATCATTAGTGTCATTTATTTGTGCAAGATTAATACCAGGATTAATATCAACAAAAGTAATTTATAAAATGCAACAAAACAAGTCTTTAAAGTACGGATTAAACTTGAGTGCCAATAAAAAACCAACCATAACTGGAATAAAACGACCTTCAGTTTTTGATGCAGAAGACGATGACGATGACAATAAAGTGCAAAAAGAAGTCCAGAGAGCAAATCGAAAGATAGGACAGAGTTCAACGGTTAGTAAATACGCTCAGGAGCAATATGAACAAGCTCTTTCAGAAGATCCAACAGCGTTTGCATATGATGAGGTCTACGATAACATGAAAAGTGCGGAACGGAGAAAAATCGAAATGCTTAAAGGACCGGAACAAGAGGCTAAAAAGGTATTTTCAAATAAACGCGCTCTTTTTTCGTGAATTCATGAATTGACCATTAAATTCATTCAATTTCAGGCAAAATATGTTGATAAATTTTTAAAAGCTGCGGAAATTCGGAAACGTGATTTGGCTCTTGCACAAGAGCGTAAAATACAAAAAGAACGAGAAGCTGAAGGCAATGAGTTCGAAGACAAGGAAACATTTGTTACTTCAGCGTATGAATTTTTTTTATTAAAGAAGTTATCTTCACGAATTTGATTTTTTTAATTAATTTCTTTGTGGTTAACTATCAATTATTTAGTTATAAAGCACAAGCTGAAGAGTTAAAGAAATTGGAAGAGGAAGATAAAAAGAAAGGTAAGCTTTTATTTTACTGATTTTTTTTTGTTCCAATTATCTTATTTGGCTTTTCTGAATTCAGAGTCAGAGCAGAAAAAAGGAAAACACATGACAAGTTTTTATCGACAATTACTCGATCAGACCGATTCTGCAAAAGCTGAAGCAATTAAGGCTAGTCGAGCGTCACTTGCAACAAAACAGCGCATAGAAGAAAACACAGACTCTCTCTCTCTCAAAACAGATAAAGAATTAGCAGAATTAGCGCTAGCCGCCGGGAAAGAGGTGATGCTGAATGCAGACGAGAAAATTGTGGACAAACGACAACTATTGTCCGCGGGATTAAATATCCCGCAGAAAAAGAAGATTTCAGAATCTCAAGCTGATCACGGAGCAGATAATATTGATAGATATAGTCGTGGTCGCGGTGGATCATCTTATAATACTTATAATAGGGAAGAGATGAGGCATCGAGAGAGACAGAGTCGTGAATTAGAGAAACAAATACTGGAGACAAAAAGAAAGGCTGAAGAGGAACAGAAAGCAAAGGAAGAACAATTGGTCCAAAAATTATCACAAAAGAAAGACGAAAAGGCAATAGCTGACGCACGTGAAAGATATATAGCAAGGAAAAGGCAGCGAAAGGGATAATCATAATTTAATGGTGTACACCTTCCCATAAAAGGCTATTATGATATTACGTAGATATAAATAATAATTTAACTCACTATCAAACTCAAAAACAAAATAATTCTAACAGAGATTTCATACGAAAAGCAGTTCGCTGCATACAATTACCAAATAAGAGTTACAATTTAATTCAATTAACATCGAGGAATTATCAACGTTGTTGAAAAACGGGCCTGATAATTTGGGGGTGTATTTAAAAGCACTTGGAAAACAGCAGAAAATGGTAAAAAATTGAATGAAGATAAATAAATAAATAAATAAAATTCGTCTTTGTGCTTGCTGTTGTTTGTTTCGTATTAAAATTGAAAAGAACAACTGTGCTCTCTTTCTCTCTCTCTCTCTTTTCATATTATTGTTGACATACTCAGCTTCCTTAATTGATAAGATCCTCTTTCCCTAAAATAATAAATTCCATCGTGTATGTATAAGAACGTAAAAAGTAAAACAGTAAGTATATATATGCAAATAATGCTTTATATATAGAGATAAAATATGTACAAATGTTTTACAATATCAATAACAATGAAAAGAAGGGAGAATGCAGGTGGATGATGTATCGTCCTTAACACACAAAAAAAAAGAAATTGATTCGAGGCAAAGAAATAAAAATAACAAATTAAGAAGTAAAAAATATACAACTTTATGAATGATACATCGCTCAGCTCCGTCACCTCCTTTTTGTTTAATCATAAAGGATATTCACATCTCAATATCACCCATCACATATTCTTCGTAAGGCATGGCCCTGATATTTTTAATAATTAATGATCAGTAAAAAAAGATTGATAAGAAAATTAAAGAAAATGAACAAGTACCGGCCAATTATTTCCGAATCGCTACTAGAGTCACTTAATGATTCGTCTTCTTGGAGTGGAGCATTCACACTAAATAAAAAGTGATTATGTGGATTTCAATTGATTGCATATTGATTTAATAATTAATTGGCTAATCAATTAAAAAGTTCACCTCAATCCTCGCACCGTAAAGAATAAAATTCGTTTCATTTTTTTATTATAGAAAAAGAAATTAAATGACCATCTTTAGAGCAAGAAATAATGATTAGTTATTTCCGTACTCACAACAATAAATGCAACATGAAATCTCTTACATTGCTCCTTCTTCGGTATTCGGATCGGAGTCCATATCAGGATCAAATGAATACACGTCACACTCTTCCAAATCAATAATATCATCAACAATTTTCCATAGATTTAAGTCGGTGACTATCCATCCATGTTGTAGATTGAAGAGTGTGTTGTTTATGTAATTACAGACGTTAGATATTGACGGTTGTTTGATAAACTGTTCTGGTCTTACATCGCTAATAATTTATTCATTTGTTTATTTATTTTTTTTATATTTGTTCGATTTATTTCTTTCCTCGAATGAATTTATTTTCTCTTGTGTTGTTTGATGATAACTTACGAAAAATCATAGTCAGGATAAGAAGCGTTCAGAGTGGCAATAAGGTTGAACAAAGTTCTTCGTGTGGACGGTTGGTTCATGGGGCCGAACGGAGATATGATATCATTTAAACTATTTTCGGGCGAGATACTCGAAGAAAAGTTTGATATTTCTTCATTGTAACGACTTTCGAGATATTTGTATAATTTTTTATCGGCGCCTGCCACTTTACCTGCATTTGGGGAAAAAGTTTGTGACGCCTTAATAAATATGACTCACTCCAACACTCCGACCACTGCTGCGGATAATAAAAATAGCAAGTAAACAATCAATAGGAACTTACACGAATAGGGCTCTATTCGACCAAACACTTTACATTCCGGTGTGTCAAACACGAGAGCACTATTTATATGGTCGAGTGTTGCAACTTCGAGAAACTTCATCTTTACGTAACGATATTATATATGTATTTTATATATATACATATAAAATACGTATTATACGGAGAAATTTAAATGTATGATAATAGCTAGAGGTGTTTAATTAAACTCTTACTTACTCCAAATGAATAAAGCTGTAAACTATTTAAACAAGAAGACTCTTTATGCGAAATATATTCTCACACTCTGAAAGATGAGAAAAACATGTATTGTTATATATATATCGATATATAACGGTAGTGTGAGTTATTTTCCTGTCTTCAATATTTTGGAATGCATGCTGTTTCATGTTTTACCAATTATGGATAAAGCACTGGTTAATTAGTATCGCACTGCTGTTTTAGTGTTATTGTATAATAATGTCACAAGACGAACGTGCAAAATAATGGCGTCATTGGTGATCTGGGAATCGATAAACCATTGTTTTGGTGTATCAGTATGCGTATCAGTATGTTTATTTATGCATCAGTAATTGATTAGATGATTTTTCGATTTAGCAATAAAAAAAAATTAATATTTATCGCTTTACATTCTCGGTCTCGGTTCTTTACAACTACCAGCATGACAAAGGTAAATATTTATGGGAAGAAACAATCTATGGCTTCTACGCTTTGGTCAAGAAATAACAATACTGGAAATGATAATATTTGAATTTACTATATTTATTGTACCAAAAAGGTTATTGGGACTCATAACGGGAGTTTTCACTGGTAGATTATTTAGTTTGTCTTATTATATATACAAAATATTATTCTAATAATCATATTGAAATCCAATATAGTGATGAAGCTTTAGCAGTATTTATGCTTCGTCAGACACAAGCTTTTAAGAATTCAAGTATGTTATATATTTATTTTCTTCTATCTTCTCCCAGATTTTTAAAAATTAAAATAAATATATTATAAAAAAGCACTAATACGTACACGCGATCAACAAAAACTTGACGAGTGTGATATTGTGGTGGATGTGGGCGGGGTCTATGATCCAGAAAAGAATCGGTATGACCATCATCAGGTATTATTTGAAGACTATTAGATTAATTAATTAAATAAAAAAGAATTTTAGCTTATACTTTTTAATTACAAATATATAGCGAGGATTCTTTGAGACATTTAGTCCGCATCATTCTATTAAATTGAGTAGTGCTGGATTAATATACAAGTACAGTTGATTTTGTTTTATTTTTTGCTTAAACTTAATCTTTATATTAATTATAATTAATTCATTAAAGACATTTCGGCAAGGAAATAATTGGAACACGACTAAATTTGAATTCTACAGATCAAAAACTAGAACTTTTATATCAAAAAGTATATGAAGATTTTATAGAAGGATTAGATGGTTAGCACTTTTTACTGGATTTTCTTGAATTCTCTCTATCTAATACATTAAATCAATAAAATAATTAGCACAAGATAATGGAATTAATCGATACCCGGAAGAATGTTCAGCAAAATATAAAGATTTGACCAATTTACCACGTCGAGTTGCGGGATTGAATCCTTGGTGGAATAGTAAGAATCCTAGTTTTGATGTAAGCAGTTTATTATTAATGTTCTTTATATTGTGAATCAGGAATCTTTATAAAAATTTTTTAATTAATCTATTTTTCTTAGGGTCAATTCTATAAAGCTGTAGAATTAACCGGCTCAGAATTTTACGGGATGATAGATTACCTGGGTCTTGCTTGGCTTCCGGCACGTGATATAGTGATGAGAGCATTCGAGAAGAGATTTGAGATCGATAAAAGCGGTAAGATATTGGTATTGGATGGTTTTTGCCCTTGGAAGGTATTTTCTTTTTATTTCTTGGTCATTCTTTATTTTTGTGATAATCGATTTATTCATTTTTGTCGAATGTCACATAGGAACATGTATTTGACCTTGAAAAAGAACAGAATATTGCAAAAGACGAGAACATACTTTATACGGTGTATCCAGATGAGGCGAGAGGTTGGCGAGTACAATGTGTTCCTGCTACTTTGGATTCTTATAGCTCTAGGAAATTGTTACCCGAAGAGTAAGTATTCCTCTACCTAATCGAACAAATTGATTTTTTATTTATACTTACAAAAACAATACTTATAATGTTATAAATTTTTAGATGGCGTGGATTAAGAGACTCCGAGTTATCGGAAAAAGCGAAGATCGAGGTAATAATATCATAAATAATTTAGAGTAATTTAATTTAATTAAGCTAATATATATGCGTTCATGTGTAATTTTGCAGGGATGCATTTTCATTCATATGACAGGGTAAGAGAATTAATTTAAACTCATCGCCTTACTGAAAAAATTATAATTTAATAAAGAATCTGTATTTTAATTATAGATTTATTGGAGGTAATGGAACGAAGGATGGAGCTTTGGAAATGGCCAAAAAAGCACTAAATTCATAGTTGCAAAATAATTTAGTAACAAATATGTATAAAGATATACATGGAAACTATTAATTATTGGAATCAATTTCTTTTATTGAATTTTTATTACGACAAAGCTTAATCGGGGGAATTAAGATCTTTAGAAATTTATGTAAATGCAGTAACAACAATTTTGGTTATCGACTGTGTAAATACAGACTTTTAATTCTGCGAAAATATTAGCAGTCCTAAATTACAGACGAAAATGTACTATAAGAAATTTAATATCTAGTGATACAAACTGATTCTATAAAATCGATTATTTTGTTATGAAACCGATTAACAATGTAAAATCGATTATATCTAGAATTATATGTTCGAAACAATTGAAATTCTTGAAAATTTTTTATAATCAAAAATGCTAAATCCAAATTTATAAAAAAACTCATTCATATTGCAACACAACTTTTTGATATAATAAATTCCTATTTTACTAATTACTAAGTATGAATATTGTAAACTTAAAATAAATAAAGAAAATATTTTATTATTTAAAACAAGTTCCATATTGATACAGTCAAATCTCTTTATAGTCACACCTGTTTATAATCACATTTCTCTATAGTTATTTTATTTTGCTTTTTCATTTATATATAAATATAAAAAAAATCTCTCTATAATCACATTTTCTCTATAGCTACTGTTATTCCAGTTCTTTTAACAGTATTTATATAGTGGAAGGTCTTTAATGAATCTCTTCTTACAGTTATAAGAGGAGATAGTGGATCAAGTTAAGTTTATTATTAAGAAAGTTATATGTTATAATTATG